TCTGGTGAGCGCATGCTATAGCAAAAATCTCTCTTAAAAAAAAGAAAAAAAGTCTCGTCAAGATGTGATGGAGAATTACACATTGTCAGTCTTGTTACATTTCTCTCTTTGGCTTCTTTTCAAATTTGAAAAATAAAAGTCTTGTTAAAGTTGTACATTCATCAGCATGTTTTCAAAACTGCAGCTGTTATTATGAGAGGATAAGTAATCAATAAATAAGAAATTTTATATATCAGAATGTTTCACTGAAGAGCTTTATTAACTTTCCCATACTGTTTAAAACATCACACTATGGTAATCAGTTGCATAAAATTTCATCATCTATTTGCTTAAGGTTCCTTAGATTTTAGCACAGTGCATAATGGTGAATTTTTTTAATATTAATTCTACTGGATATGCATGCACATATGTGTGCATGTGTCTGAGGGAGGGAGAGAGAGAAACAAAACCTTCCAACAGAGCAATACTTTTACAGTATTCCACACTGCAATACTTTTTCCTCCAATTCTTCATACTGTTAGGATTGTAGACACATGTGAATACATGCTTGGTGTTTTATTTTTATTTTAATAATTATTTTATTTTATTTATTATTATTTTCCAGTTTGATCAGACAGAGAGAAGGAAAGTGAGAAAGCATGCCATCAGGTCCAGGATTTCAACTGTGCTGTGCCGTGTGGGAGTCTAGTGCCTTTAACCACCATGCCACCTACCGGCCCCAGCCTGGTGTGTTTTTTAGAGTGTGTGTGTGTTGTATTTTTTATTATTTTAAATTTATTTATTTTATATTCATTCACTGAACATCATCACAGCATACAAATTGTGATTTCCCATCCAAAATACATTGTATTTTGTCTTAACCATACATGTTATCATCAACAAATAATTTTCAATTTCTTGTCACATATTTACATATGTATATGTATGTGTGTATGTGTATATATGTATATATATATATTCAATTCCCTATTTCTCACTGCCATTTCCTGTCCTCCTTCCACACTATCTCTGGTATCTACAGTTGCTTTCTATGCCCCTTTTCCCCCCCACATTTTATTGATTCTTAATTAATCTAAATACTATTTTTGGGACCAGCAGTCAGCATAATGGCTATGTCACTGGACTCCCACATAGTCGACCATGGTTCGAGTCCCGGACCTGGTGGCTTAAACTCACGCCGGGCGCATGTGCTTGTGCGCCCAAGATCCCGAGAGGAGAATGGAGGAGAAGGGATTGCAGTGTGGCCATCCCCCCTTGGGGGTGATTTCTCGCTTTCTATCTCTCTGTCTGTCTCATGAGCCCCCGTGCCCTATAGCAGAAACCTCTCCCCCCGCAAAAAATACTATCTTTAGCAAGTTCAGCTGATATAGACATATCTTTTTAAGTCAACAGCGCCGAGACTTGAACTATGGTCGGCCAGCTTCTTCTTCACAGCACGTAATTGATATGCTATAGGACCAACCCTCTTGTTATTTTAATTGGCACAGAATTGTACATATTTATAGGTTACCAGTGTAATATTTTTCATACATGTATACAATGTATAATGATCAATTCAGGGTAATTAGCATACCCATTGCCTCAAACATTTATCATTACTTTGTATTGAGGGCATTCAAAATTCTCTCTCCTAGCTATTTTTGAAATATACAATAAATCATTTACTATGGTCACCCTACTATGGAAAACAAAACAACAAAAAAACCACAACTTTCCTTACTGATTATTCCTATTTAATTATAACTTTGTATCAGTAAACCAACAGCTTCCCCTCCCCCCCCAATAATCATCATTCTGTTCTCTACTTCTATGAGGTTAACTTTGCTTCCATAGCTGCATGAGAACATGTTATATTTTTTTTCTGTGCCTAGTTTATTTCACTTAACATAATGTTCTCCAGTGTCACCCATTTTGTCTCAAATGATAGGTTTTTCTTATTTTTAATAGTTGAGAATTCCATTGCATATACCATCTTTCCTTTATTCATTCATCTGTTGATAGACACTTAGGTTGATTCAATAGCTTGGCTATTGTGAATAGTGCCACTATAAACATGAGAGCACAGGTGTCACTTTGACCTACTAATTCCTTTATTTTAATTTTTTTTTTACTAGATATTCAGCAGTGAGATTATTGAGTCATATGGTCGTTCTATTTTTAGTTGTTTGAGGAACTTTCATGTTTTCCATAGTAGCTATACTAAATCCCCATCTACTGTGTCTAAGAGTTCATCTTTTCCCACAATCTCACAATATAAATTCTTGTCTTCTTGGTAAAAACCATTCTTACAGGTGAGATGATGCTCATTGTGGTTTTGATTTTCATGTCCCTGAGGATTAGTGATGTTGAGCAGTTTTCCATTACTTGTTGGCTGTGGGTATGTCTTTGTTTGAGAAATGTCTATTCATTCCCCCCCCCCTTTTCCCCCTGACTTTTCTTAT